CGGCCGGGGCGGGCGGGGCAAAGCGTCTCCTGCGTGGACGCGTGTTCCTGCGGGTGCGGGCACCCGCCTCATGCGCCGATCCCACCACCTTCGCGCCCCGCCACCCGCTCCCCCCCTCCGCCCCCTTGCGACGCGTGTCCCCTCGCTAAGCTTTTACCGCTCCTCAAGCGCGCGCGTCAAGCGGCGGTTTCTTTCCGGGCCTGCGCCAAGCGGCGGCTCGCCCGGGAACCGAACCCCCCTTCCCCAGAGCAAGAGGCCCCGCTGCGGGGCTTGCTGCGCCCACGCCCGCGAGTCAGAGCGGGTTTCGAGCACGGCGCGGCCTCGGTTTTGGCAGACTTGGCGTCTCGGGCACACTGTCTCGTTGTTACCTTTTTCCCTCCATTCTCCACCCAATATACGGATCGGCTGTGTGTCTTGGAATAGGATACCATTTCAACTTTTCAGAAACTGTTTCAAGGTTAGAAAGGCTCAAACATTACTTTTCTGCCTGCTATGAATCTAAATTAACCTTGAACATTTTGGAATACAAAATTTCAACATTTCAGAAACTGTTTAAGGTCAGGAGCGCACCAACATTGCTTTCCTGCCCGCTATAAAACTAAATTAGCCTTCAATATTTTGAAATAGAAAACTTCAGCATTTCGGAAACTGTTTCAAGTTTAGGAGCGCACCTACTTTGATTTCCTGTCCGCTATGAATCTAAATTAACCTTGAACATTTTAGAATGAAAACGTTCCAAAATTTCAGAAAATATTTCAAGGTTGTCAACGTATTAATATTTATTTTTCGCTCTCAATGGATCTAGATTAACCTTTATTTTTTTTATTAAAAGTGTTTCAGTATTTCAGAAACGATTTTAAAGTTGCAATTGCCCAACTTTGCTTTCTTGCTTGTTACGAAGCAAAATTTATATTTTACGTACGTTTTAGAATACAAATATTTGCGTACTTTAGAAAATATTTCAAGGCTAACAACGCAGTAACAACTGGACGTGTTGCCTGTTCATCTGCCCAGAACGGCGCTTTCGCTCGCTGCGTGGCAAGGAGGCGCGACCGTCTGCTGATCGCACGGGCGGCGTGGCGCGTAGGTGGCGGTTTTTTTTCGAGGCGAGTGCTTCGGAACAACAAAAAACGAGCCCAAGCACTTGACGGTGCGAGATCGCGCAAGCCCGCACCGGAGACAGCGAAAACTCAAAAGCGTAAGAACCGGGCAGCAGCGTCCTCAGGGTTGTCAGGAGCGAAAATTTAGAATAACGACGAGGTTGATTTAATTCAGCGTGGGCTGAACGATTTTTTTTTCATCTTTTTTTTTTGCATGTGACACGCTAATGCGCGGGCGGTTTGCAAGGCGCCCGCGAGTGGTGAAGCGGTAGAGTCCCCCACACGATTATCTAGGTGCTTTAGACCCGTAGTTGCTTAACCTAGAGAACAAGCGCGCGGCGGGGGCGGTCGGGAGAGACCCGGCGACCCCGGCACTTGAACGTGGTACGGACACCGAGAGAGACGAGTGTGTGTGCTTCTTTATTTATTTATTCATTAATTTTATTTTGTGTGTGGTTCGCGCGGCTCTGTTTATTCCTTGGCTCTCTTGTCTCCCGCTCGGAAAAGCGCGGGCGGGAGATCCAGGATCTGCATACCGCACGCGAACATAAGGCCCGTCGTAGGAGGGAAGTACACTCGAATAAAAAAAACTACAACTCTATGAGATGGACACTAGCAGGACTCTTCCTTTACAATAATAATTTTTTGGAGGATTGTACCTTTGTTAAATATCTTCAGACCTAACAATTTGTAGCTCGTACAGCCTTGTAATAACAGGATATGCCAAGGGGAAGCAATGTAATAGTATTTATATATGTATGTATATATATGTATGTGTGTATATATATAGACATCTTGCTTATCATAACAGGAGGTCGCACAACCTTGACACACAATCCCAGCAGCAGCTGCCACTAGTAAGACGTGGGGAGAGTGAGAACATACGTACTCATACACGTAACAGAGGCGCGCGCGCGTGTTAAGATACATAGTATATTATGTAATAATGGCACAGGAATGGCAGTATAGCTGTGGCGCTCAATGGCCACCCACGACATGGCGTTCCGACAAGCCGACGCCTCTCAGGCCCTGGCGGGGCGGGCGGGCGGACGGGCGGGCGGTTGGGTGGGGACTAGCGAGGCGAGGGGTGGGCGCGGGCTACACTGCAGGCGAGAGGGGCCGGGGCAGGAGGGACGGGCAGGGTAGGGCGGGGTGGGCAGGGGAAAAGAAGGTCGCGAGACGGGTCTTCGTCCCGTGGAAATGCATCAATGAAAATTTTGATTAAATGGAACTAGAGATTCTTAGGACGATTTCATTCAAATGCATTACATAAAGAGTATTATCATGGAGATTTGTAGATTACACGTAGTTGGAAAACACTGATGAAGACTTGGAATTAGAACTGATGACGAGGTTATGAATATTGATAATTTTTCACTTTTTTAAAAACAATGCCCATCCCCAACAAGAGTAACGTCTACTTGCCTTCTAGGTATATCTGAATGAAGAACAATCTTTGGCTTAAACTGTTTGTGTATACGCAGGACAAACCCACAAAAATACGACATGAAGTGTTTACACAGAACGCTCTAGTACTGGAACATTTGGCTTATCCATAGTTGAGGAGTATAGTACTGAGTTCACCCTAAGAACGAGCATGCAAAGTTGTAGGGGGGTCCACTTCTGCCGAGACGGCCCGCGTGTCCCATGCGTTGCGACATCAGTGGACGGTGACCCAGGTGGGCTCCTAGCCTACACACGCCCACACGCGCACGGCACGGCACGAGACGACACGCGTCCGCCCCCTGCTCGCGCTAGGGTCACCGGCCCTATTCGGGGCCACGCTGATATGAACCTAATCCACAGCACCACTTCACCTTCCCATACACACAGCGAACTCGTCACGTTAACCGGACGACGATCATACGGAGGAGGAAGAAGTCTATGTACAGAGTTAGGGCGTGGACATTGTGAAGTGCGTCGCGGTCGAGGAGCGTGATCGACCAACGTGATCGAGCTGTGATTGTACCCCGCTCCGGTCGAGGGGTGATGGGGGTTTTATCAACCGCCCCGTCAAGTCCTTGGGGAACACCATTTCTTCTCCGTTCCCACCTGTGACCTTCAAATGGATACCCCACGCTCTATTTTTGCGTCTACCTCAATTTCACTTATTAATGACCCCGAGAAGAATCATTCAAGAAAAAATTACAACTACTATTAAATTTTTATTACAATACAAAACAAAATAATTCGTTCTGATCGTTTTGAGGCAGCAATCACGGCTGTTGAAATTGCAGTCATGCATAAATCACCGCGTGTGCTCCCACATATTTATCAACAACTCTTATCGCCTCACAGCTCGATCTCTTGGAGGGTCGGCTCTGCTCAGCGATCCCGACTCATCTACTACGTTTTCGGTCTCAGAAGAGAAAGATATTGGAGGCGACCGAAGTGGCCGGAGCTCCGCTACAGCTACAGCGAAAAACGGAGAGACGGCGGCGCCCGCGGCGATGCCAATGAAGACGCCTGCCGCCACCGCCGCCGTCGCCACCGCCACCGTCACCGCCGCCACCGTCACCCGCCGCACCGCCGGCCGCCGCGTCGGCCCCGACGCGACGTCGCCGCGGAGGGCCGAGAAGGAGGGGAGGGGAAAGAAGAGGCAAGTTTCGTCGCCTGAAAAAAACCGCGTCCGACTACGCAGCTAACACCGACGAAGACGCCGGACGCGGCCCGGCGTAGCGCGGCGGGCGACGATCCCGGCGAGCGGAAGGAGGGGCCCTTGAAGGGCCCCAAGAGGGGCCGAGCGGGTCGCGAGAGGGCGTGCGGCATTCAAGACACACCTACCTACTACGCCTACGCGAGGCATGCCGCTAACACATCTGGCAGAACCTACGCAGACTTGATCCAAGCGAAAATCATACTTACTACGTAATTTTATTTTTATTTTTTTTACTTTTTGCTCGAGTTTTCTTTGATATCAAATTGTATAGCTACATTGTGTTAACTTTTAAAATCTGTTTTGGTTGCAATAGTGTAACTAGAATACCTGTTTACTACGCATGTTCTATCAGATAAATATATGTTTCATATAAGTTTTGAGGAAATTCCCATGCAGACATCATCGGCTGTCCTAGCAAACACGAAACAAGCACTCGTGCTTCTCGACCAAAAAAGCACCCTTCCAACAGAGGAAGACGTGTGGCTGTGTGTTGCAAGTTATTGTCGTTACCGTACCTTCCGCGGTTGGCGCGGCGGCCGCCCCCGCGGAAGGCCGTGTGCGGCCCGCGCAGACACATTTATTGCTTCCGAAGCTCGACGCGCCGAGCGGCGCGGCGCGTGCTACC